TTTTTTTTTTCCTGTTGTTCTGATGGTGAAGGCTATATTTTGACTGCAAATTTCCAGAACTAGGGTATTGTTTGTTGAAAAGAGTTTATCTTAGCTGCATTGGATAGTAGAAACCAAAAATTGATATGAACCTCAGCCAATTAAGCCGAGGAGCAAGAATCACTGTTTGTATCATACCACAATTACTCTGTATTGAGTCAACTGTAGGAATACAGAAATGGTGTTTGTATTTAAAGTAAAATTTACAATATTAAATAGGCATTTGAGAGGCCTGTTTCTCTTCACAGAATTCACTTACACCTTGTACTTCGCAGATGAAATATTTAACAGACTACACCTCCTTCCCCTGTTATATTTTGGTGCTCACAATTATCCTAGAAGAATCCCAATACACCCCTCTCCCTAGCAAACTCTAACAAATGGGTACGACCCTGCATTTCATGCTGCTGGCTGTACCCTTCTTTCTGCACCTTGCATTCTTAAATCTGATGGGTGGTCTATCCATCTCCTAATCTGTTCTAGTCACGTATCTCTATGATTATCATTGTGCTCAAAATATGCACAAATGAACCTGGGTGCACGGCTGCATGCAATACAGCACACATTCACACCTTTTCTGACTTCTTATTGGGAAAATTTTCTGAAATATTAGCTTCTCTTGTTTCAGGTTGGTTACTTGCTTGGATTGGGTGATCGACATCCAAGTAACCTTATGCTGCATCGTTCCAGGTACTTTGGTGACCAAATTTACAATTGGTAATTGTCAATGTTTTAAATTTATTCTTACAAGATGATGTTTATCAGTGGGAAGATATTGCATATTGACTTTGGAGATTGCTTTGAAGCAGCAATGAACCGGGAGAAATTTCCTGAAAAGGTATTTAATCCTTCCAAAAGTAATTTTTTTGAAATGACCTTCCACATTTCAGGGTGTTTTAGACAAATTAATTCGTATTCCTTTTTTGACAAATTCAAAATTGTTTGATACAGGTCCCCTTTCGACTTACTAGAATGCTTGTTAAAGCTATGGAGGTCAGTGGTATTGAAGGAAATTTTCGCTCGACTTGTGAAAATGTCATGCAGGTTCTGCGTACAAATAAAGAGTGTGTTATGGCCATGATGGAGGTACTG